AATAATAATAATAATAATAATAATAATAATAATAATAATAATAATAAAGAAAGAGAAGAAGAAGAGAAGATAAAAAAAAATATATATCTTTTTAAACCACAACCATACTAATATTTAGTAATGTAGTATTATAGGGTATGGTATTATTATTGTATTATTTTCTATAGAATTAAATATACAATTAGCATTAAAATAATTTTTTTATTTTTTATATTATTGTATCAAAATTATTTAAAAAATCTAAAAATACTAAATTTATTTTTTAAAATAAAAAATAATTTAAAAAATACTTTTAACAATAAACATTCATGGGATATAAAACAAAATTAAGTTAGTCGTTTTTGTTTTTACATTTCAAAAAAATTTAAAAAAAAATAAAATGTTTTTATTTTTTCTTTACTTTAAATTAATATTTTTTGGTATTTTTAAATCATTTTAATACATTAAAAATTATTTTAAAAAAATAAAAAAAATATTATTTTAATATATTTTTAAATAAAAAATATTTTAAAAAATAATTCCAATTCCTAAAAACTGGCACATGTGAAGTGATTAAAACAACAAAGTAGGTTTCAATCTCTGAAGCAATGGTATTTTGGTTATCTTTTACCCTACTTTTAAAAGAAAATAGGTAAAAAATGATCCTACCTACCGTGCATTATTTTTTGCCTCGAAAGATAGATTAGTTATTATTCTGTGAAAAAAAAAACAATAAAAAAACCTATTATATGTCCGCCGACCGTCAAGGCCAATTGTTTTTTGTTGATAGAGACTTTGATCATTTTATAAGGAGTTCGTCAAAAGTTGACTTGGGGTTTCCCTGTCAAAATGGAGTTCCTGGTAGCTTCCTGCCCATGTGAAAACACGTATGGAATACAGCATTTGATCGATCGATCTGACTATATGTGAGGCCTTAAGATCAGGATTGGTGATTCTGGAGCAAGAAGCCATGGCCATGATCGCAGTGCAGGTGGTGCTCGAGAAACTGGCTTCCTTTGTAGAAAAAGAAACACGGTTCTTGGGAGGAGTTAGAGGGGGAATCGTTGAACTACAGGATGATTTGTATTGCATGAAATCTTTCCTTCAGGATGCGGAAGAAACGAGTGAGAGTGATCAAGGACTGAGAGCCTGGGTCAAACAAGTGAGAGATGTGGCTTATGATGCTGAGGACATTCTTGAAGAGTTCATGCTCCGGTTTGCTCAATCTCACGGGACTGGTTTTATCCATTATCTTCGCAATTCATATCGTTCCATCCGTAAATTAAGTGCGCGGCACCGGCTGGCAGTCCAGCTACAAAGCATTAAAGCAAGGATGAAAGCCATTTCAGAGAGAAGAAATGCATTTTCTTTGAACAGGATAGACATGCCATCAACCTCCAGTGCTACCGTAGAGAAATGGCATGATCCCCGGTTAGATGCTCTTTACTTAGATGAAGCTGATGTCGTGGGAATTGAGAACCCAAAACATCTACTGGTTTCGTGGCTTGTAGAAGGAGAAGAAAAGCTCTCCAGTATCTCTGTGGTTGGAATGGGTGGGTTGGGAAAAACAACCCTCGTAAAGAAAGTCTATGACAGCCACCCCATCAGAAGAAGCTTTGATACCCATTCTTGGGTTACAGTTTCCAAATCATTTGCATCCACGGAGCTTCTACGAGTTGCTCTGCAGGGGTTTCTGGTGACAGCAAACGAACCTGTTCCAGCTAATTTGCAATCAATGACTGACCTCCAATTAATTGATGCTCTAAGAAATTATCTATGGAGAAGGACGTTTGTCATTGTTTTGGATGATGTATGGACTGTAAACGCTTGGGAAACAATAAAGTATGCATTTCCTGATTGTAACTGTGGTAGTAGAATTATCTTCACTACACGTTTAAGTAACTTGGCTGAATCTATAGAGAACACTAGTCATGTTTATGAACTCCAAGCTTTACCAGAAAATGAAGCCTGGACCCTCTTTTGTATGAAAGCCTTTAGAGGGGAACATAAGGCTGTATGCCCTCCAGAACTGGAAGAGATGTCTCGAAATATCTTAAGGAAGTGTGAGGGACTGCCACTTGCAATTGTAGCAATAGGAGGCCTGCTGTCGAAGAAGAAAAATGAAGGTTTGGAATGGAAGAAAGTCCATGACTGCCTAGCTACAGAATTGAAAAGTAACAACGACCTTGGGAGTCTACGTAGAATACTTCAACTAAGTTATGATGATCTTCCCTACTACCTCAAGCAGTGTTATTTGTATTTAAGTGTATTTCCAGAGGACTATTTGATAAAAAGAATGAAGTTGATCCGGTTGTGGACGGTTGAAAGGTTTGTGGAAGAGAAGCAAGGCTTTACAAAGGAGGAAGTAGCAGAGGAATACCTTAATGAACTCGTGAATAGGAGTTTGATCCAAGTGGTGGAGATGAATTATTTTAATAGGGTCAAGACATGTCGTGTTCATGATCTAATGCGAGAAATCATTCAAATGAAATCCAGGGAAGAATCTTTTGTTATGATAGCAAACGGAGCAAGAATCAGCAAGAATGAGAAAGTTCGGCGTCTATCAATCCATGAAAACTCTGAGGAAGTACAATCAGATATGAGATTTCCTTATCTGTGGTCTTTGTTGTCATTTTCTTCACATCATTCTTTTGAGCATAGTTTTCGCAATTACAAGCTGTTGAGAGTATTGAATTTAGATCGAGCTCCCCTTTCCAGCTTCCTACCTGAATTGGTTGAACTGATTCATTTAAGATACTTAAGTTTGAGATGGACCATGATAAGTGAGCTTCCAGAGTCCATAAGGAAGCTCAAGTACTTGGAAATACTTGATTTGAAAAGGACTTTTGTATCTTCTTTGCCTGCTGGGATCACACAACTGACATGTCTTTGCCAGCTCCGTAACTATCGACACAGTTTCCAGCCATCATCGTTCTTCCCAGACACTCATGGAATGAGAGTTCCATCAGGAATAGGAAGATTGACGAGCCTGCAGAAATTGGGAAGCGTCGAAGTGAATGAAGATTATGAATTAGTCAGGGAGTTGGGAAAGCTAACTTCGTTGAGAAGGCTGGGCATTTTAAAGCTAAGAGAAGAGCAGGGAATGGATCTGTGTTATACTTTGGACAGGTTGAAACACCTTACTGCATTGTATCTTGTTTCACTAAACAAAACTGAATCCTTACAATTTGACTCTCTTTCATCTCCTCCAAAATATCTCCAACGACTATATCTCAAATGTAGTCTTCCGGCTTTACCAGAATGGATACCTTCACTCCAGTATATTTCCAAGCTAGTGCTTCAATATTCTAATCTGAAAAGTGATCCTCTCAAGGCCCTCCAGAAATTGCCTAGTTTGGTGTTGCTTGAACTCCGTCAAGCTTATGCAGGGGAAGAACTGTGTTGTGATCCTAGTGGATTTTCAAAGCTGAAGAGGCTAGGTCTCCATGAACTGGGGAGATTGCGGCGCATCAGAATAGCGAAAGGATCAATGCCTGGGTTAGAGAGGCTAGACATTACAGCATGCACGGTGCTAGAAACCGTGCCGGATGGGATTGAAAACCTGAAAAATATAGAAGACCTGGTTCTGTGGCATATGCCTCCAACATTCATCAAGACAATAGAAAGGTACCGTGGTGAAGATTTCTGGAGAGTTCAACATGTCACAACAATCACCCGTATCTACGAGAACCAGGGGAGATGGTTCTCTGAAACTCTTCCGTAATTAGAGGGGTAAACTACGGAGAGGACTACAGTTTCCGGAAAATCATGATCTCTGCCGAGTTCCTCAGGTCTGTACAGAAGTTTCATCATGTAATGCTGAGCCTCAGAAAACAGAAAACTGCTGCTCCTCCCTCCTCTTCTCTGCTCCTTTGTCTCTGTTTTGCTGTCGTTGAATCTTCCAACCTGCTATCTTGTCCATGTTTGTCACCACTAATTCTGGACAGCGTCAATTTATAGACATCAATATGAGTATATTTGGGATTTGTCAGATGTTTATTTTATATTTTAACAAATTCTCACAACCTGAGTTCGTTTTGCAAGTTCACATCGACTTTTTTATGCTGGTTTTGTTTTATTCGTTTTGTAGTACTTTATTTATATCTTTTACTTTAAAAAAAAAAAAGATGAGAAAAAATAGAAATAACTACAGATTCAAAAGAAAAAAATCGAACCAGAGTCTCGATCTTGAGTGATAAGATTTTTTTAAAAACATGTAGATATGAAAGAGAGACGCAGTATTGCCTCTTAGACCCACGAAGAAGGTATGAAATTAATTCAGTTAAATTATATTCATTTTACGAATTAAGAAGAAGCAAACATATATATTGACACACAGTCAGTATAAAAATATATAGCATAATAACAGCAGGGAATAGGTGCAGAGGGAGAATATACTAACAAGAAAACAAAAATTGCAGATAACTTCGACCCGTATAGCAAATCGATACCTCTGATAATTTTGTGAATATTTCTATATATTAGCAATGGCAGAGTGCTGAAGGAGGCATAGGATAGAACAAGTGATTGTGCATGCTGGATAGTATACAAGCAGACCTATGAATAAATGACATAACCAGTCCGGGGAAAGTTAACAGCTTCAGCCTTCAAGCCCACATCTGTACAATTTTCTATAGTATTAAATACAAACTTAGTATTAAAATGATATTTTTTATTTTTTTTATTTTTTATTTTTGATATCATTATATTAAAATTATCTAAAAAATTTAAAAATATTAATTTGATTTTTTTTCAAATAAAAAATAATTTAAAAAATACTTTCAATAATAAACAATTTCCTTATTATTTCTTAATAATCCATTGATATAGTAAGTACGCAAATAACTGTTGGCACTGTCCATCGAAAGGTATCATGAGTAAATTGAAAACCAGGAACGGAATATTAATATTTATGGATCAATGAAGCGAAAGTGTAGTTTTTTATGTTTTTTTTTTTGGAGGAACTGTTGCTGATATTGGAAAGTTTTTGAAAAAAAAAAAGAGTTAGATTTATTTTTCGTTACCAATTCTATCAATTTATTTATTTTTCCAAACTGGTTTTGGATTCATATTTAAGTGAGCAAAAGAAGGGAATATTTTCCCTTTCCTTTTTAATTTGCCTTTGTAGTTGATTTTAATGTATGGAATAGAGTCCTCTGTTTTGGTTTTTGTAGGTTAGGTATATAGCTAGAATAAGGTACGGTGTAGGTTAGGTATTTAAAGCTTCGATCACAGCAACGGTGTTGAATGAATGGATGGATTTTAGCAACTTTTTTTTATGCTGGTTTTGTTTAATTCCTTTTGTAGTAATTTATTTATATTTTTTAATTTAGAAAAATGATGAGAAAAAATAAAAATAACTAAAGATTCAAAAAGAAAAAAATAGAGCTAAAGTGTAATAAGATTTTTCAAAAGATATGTAGATGTGAAAGAGAGACGCAATATTGCCTCTTAGACCACCAAGTGATAGTGTACAACTAGAACTATAAATAAAGGGAAAGTTAACAGCTTCAAGCCTATGAAATTTTACAATTAAACAAGAAAAAAAGGGTCCAAACCTATGAAGTAGAAGATCATTGTTTATTGGATTTGTACTTTGAAATCCTAAACTCGTTTTGTTATTAGAACAAAAGGGAAAACCCACCTTTCGACTTTGTAACGTAGAAGCAGAGAATCCAACTTGGAGCCTAATATCAAAAATAATTTTTAAAAAATAAAAAAATATTATTTTGATACATTTCCAAGTAAAAAACACTTTAAAAAGCAACTGCAACTACACTTCTACCAAATATTTTATACATGTTTTTTGCTATATATAAACTTTAATTATAATTTTTATCAAACACGTATTTAAATTCAAGTAACTACAATAAACTATATTTTTTTAAACTTACTTTTTCAAAATTACAACCACAAAAACTACTTAAAAAACAAACATACTCTTCAATGCATTTTCTTCCTTCTTCCTTCTTTCTTATATATTTAGAAACTGTCTTACATGCATGTAGATATCTTAATGGTTGGGTTTTACAGTTTACACTTTCTAATTTATAAAACCAAGAGTAAATCACAAATATCAGATTTTTTTTTTTCTTGGACCAAATTCATTTTTATGGGATAGAGATTGATGCGGTGTATAATTGGGAATCTTGACTTCAAAGGTCTACGAAGAAGAAAAACAAGTGCTAGTGGATGATGGGATTTAAGAGACTTGTTAGAAAATCAAATGTTCGAACAAATGACTTCCCAAGTCCACGCAGAAAAAAGCAAAGTAGCTTGCACAACAAGTTGGAGGAACACCCCGTTCCACAAGCTTGAAGAAAAACATTAACAGGCTAATGAAAATGATTGTAGGGCCCAAGATCAAATTAATTGCTCAAACGGTAATCACAATTTATTTTAATTATGTTAAATTTTTACATTAAAGAGTTTATGTTGGAAAATAATTTTTAATATTAAAAGTAAGCGGGGTTTGTTATTTATTTGACTTTAAATATGTCAATTAATCATGTTTTAGATAATGTTTTCATCAAATAATTCAATATTACAGGATTGAGTTTACTTAATCTAGTAATTTAACATATAGATAAATTTAAAATTAAACTTTCTTCTTCTTCTTCTTTTTGCAAGCCATTGATATTGTCTTTTGTTTTTAATTTTATTGGCCCGCATGGTGTCTATGATGGTCATCTCTGCCCTAACTTTCGTCATTCAAACACATCAATAATATTTTAATCAATGCATTTTCTTCTTTCGTAATTATATAAATATATTTATAAAAAAGAAAATGAATTTGTTTTGAATGGACTAATATATATCATTCAGATTAAGAATCCAAGAATAATTAATATGGAAGTAAATCAGCCTAACAGATACTTCTTTCTTCAACCAAATTAGCAACAATTGATGATGTTGATAATATATTGAGAATGTTGACCGACTTCACAAGTCTACGGAGAAAAAGAAGTGCAAGTGGATGGTGAAGCTACCGGGAAATCACTTCATTCCATGAAAAACGTTGAGGAAGAAATTTTTGTATTCCACAAGATCAAATCAATTGTTCAGAACACATGACTTTCCATGTCTATATATGACGAAAAACCAAAGTAGTTTACACAACAAGTTGGAGGAATTGACTAGTGACAGACAGTGATTGTGCAGCCTTAGACTTGATGCATCTATTGGATCCTCATAAATAAGAAAAAAGACAACCACTCACATTGGAACCTAATATGTCAAAAAATAAAAATAATGGATTTTCTTAATCACAAATAATGAATTTTCCAAGTTTAATCACAAATCCACAGATCAGTGGGTATATTTAGTATTGTAGTATAAATAGGACCTCTATGGTTGCCCGAATGCACATATGACATAACAAACAACAATATTCTACGTAGTACTTCATAGAATTATCCAAGATGATGATGAAAAAAATGGGGGCTTGGATGTTGCTAGCATTATTGACTTTGGTTGGCGACTGGTGTGGTCGTTGTTATGGGTGCTTGGAGGATGAGAGAATTGCTCTCTTAGAGGTCAAAGCTTTGACCAATCCAAACAGCATTTACATGGGAGATTGGGTGGAGTACAGTAGTAATTGTTGTGAGTGGTCTGGGATCGAGTGTGATAACACTACTAGGCGAGTGATCCACCTCTCTCTTTCGCGTGCAAGGGATCAGAGTTTGGGGGATTGGGTTCTCAACGCATCTTTGTTTCTGCCTTTTAAAGAACTGCAAAGTCTTGATTTGAGTTATAATGGACTGGTTGGTTGCTCTGAGAATCAAGGTCGGTTCAATGCTTCTGTTCTTGTAATCATAAAGTAAATTCATATCATTGTGTGAATCTTATACCGAGATTACGCTGATGAAGTGGCTAGCTGGTGTTTAATGTCAATTATCTTGCTTTGATGTGTTTCTCTTCCAGGCTTCGAAGTCCTATCATCAAAACTGAGGAAACTGGAGGTACTTCACCTAAGTGAGAACCAATTTAATGATGATAAGAGCATTTTATCATGCTTCAATGGGCTTTCATCTCTCAAGTCTTTGGATCTGTCACTCAATGAGGTGATCACAGGATCAGGTAGCTTCGATGGTGACCGTTTAATAATTTAGCTTTCAAATATAGTTATTTATCCTTTTCATATGATTTAGCTTCTATGCGTTTGTTTCCTTCCAGTATGCTTAACTTTGAGAGACATCATGCAGGTCTCAAAGTCCTGTCATCAAGGTTGAAAAAGCTGGAGACCCTTGACCTGAGTGAAAATTATTGCAACGATAGCATTTTTTCATCTCTAAGTTGGTTTTCATCTCTCAAGTCTTTGGATCTGTCAAACAATGAGGAGATCACAGGATCAGGTAGCCTCGATGGTAACCGATTAATTATTTAGCTTTGAAACATTTTCTTTTCTCCTCCTCGTATGATTTAGCTTCTATGCGTTTATTTCCTTCCAATATGCTTAATTTTGAGAAACATCATGCAGGTCTCAAAGTCCTGTCATCAAGTTTGAAAAAGCAGGATAGACTCCAACCATATGTGAATCACTGCAACGATAGTATCTTTTCATCTCTAAGTGGGTTTTCATCTCTCAAGTCTTTGGGTCTGTCAGACAATCAGCTG